AATACAGACCTTCCTCCCTTATAGACCTACTTAATGGCTATTGAGGTTTATGCCCAAGGTGTGCTGTTCAGACTTACAACTGCTTTATCTTCCATACAGTTCTGTACATCTCATTTATAGAGCCTCAATGTCTTTTTCTGACCAGTACACCAATACTGTAATTTTTGCTGACTATACCATGTAGTACAATACTATAGATTTATATTCTGGCATTCACTACAGTATTGCATGTAAGAGTTATACAAATAAAAGCAAAAAGATAATACAATTGTAGTGTTTTTGATAGGTATCATTAGATAGCAGTATGTGTACATTTCAGTTAATGCAAATGAATACTATGCTTTGCATGTGGTTCGGAAGCCCAGTGTTGTAATATTAAGAAAATATTACTGTGAAACACTTACTTATGACTTTCAGCATTCAGATAGCCAGGTTGTATTAATATAATTATATAAGCACCTGAATTTCCTAGTAGCAACATAAAACATTAATGAGGAAAAAAACATTAGAGGGAAAAATATTGTCTGAATTACTGAATATTTAATGATCCTAAAGATACATTCTTAGAAATGTCATTGTATTGTTCATATAGTCACATCATAATACTTTCTGTGACCTGGAAACTTGAAAAATAAACATGAATTTAATATCTCTAAAAAAAAAAGCAAACTCATCAACTTGGAGATTCCTTTGGTCATTTCTTTGTACTGAATATTGTAGTATACATTCTATACACAATTCCTCATTTAGCAACCAATTCATTTAATGACCTAGTGGCAGGAACAGAATTCGGTTGTTAAATAAGGAGTGTTTGTATTTACTAAGATGTCAATATTTCCTGTAGCAATGTACAAATATAATACAAAAGAAGTTAGAGATAGATGAACTACATAAAATTATGAAACTTCTGTACATGGAAGAATACAATAAAGTGAAAAGTTAACTCATGAAATGGGAAAAATATTGGCAGATCATTGCTACAATAAATTTTAAGGGCTGGCCAGATAGCTCAGTGAACTAAAATGTCTGCTTAGGCAGAGCACAGTGGCCAGGTTTGATCCCCTATGTGCCATGCCGTCCCTGCCCCAGGGGTGTGCTGAGACAGCAATTGAGACTGGGCATGGTGACGCACACCTCTAATCCCAACACTTGGGAAGCTGAAAACAGGAGAATTAATAGGAGTCCAGTCTACGTAGTGAGACCTGTAGACCCTGTCCTAAATACTTAAAAAAAAAAAAAAAATAGTAATAATAAAATTTTATATTATGTGCATTTTACCACAATTAAAAAATTTTAATGGTCCTATTAAAAGAGTGAAGCTACAAGTTATAGACTGAAAGAAAATTTTTCCCTTTTGTTTTCCTTTTATTTTAGGGAAGGGTCTACAGGGTGTTCAGGATCTCACTACTAGATCAGACTTATGGTGATCCATCTGTTTACAGCCTCCCAAGAGCTGGAATTTCAGGCCTGTGCCGCCATGCCCGGTCTTAGTTGCTATCTCAGCATGCCGCAGGGGCAGGGCCGGCACAGCAGGCCCAGGAATCAAACCCAGCCCCTGCGCCTGCTTACAGACACTTTAATATGCTGAGCTATTTGGCTGGCCCCTCAGAAGAAAATATTTTCAAACCAGGTATCTGATAAAGAACTCTTAAAACTCAAGAGATAAAACTCCAACCTAAGCTAGGTGTTATGGTACACACCTATAATCTCAACACTCTGGAAAGCTAAGGCAGGAGGATTGCAAGTGGAGCCCACCCTGGGTAACTCAGTAACTTAGTGGGACCCTGTCTCAAAATTTAAAAGTAACTAAAAAAAAAATAAATTAAAATTAAAAAAAAAAAAAAAAGGGGGGGGGGGGCAAGGGAGATGGCTCAGTCAAAAAAGTGCTTCCCTGGCAAGCGCAAAGGCCTGAGTTCAATCCCTGGTTCCGCAAAAAAAAAAAAAAAAAAAAATTTAAAAATAAGAGAACTGCCTTCCAAGCACAAGGTTCTGAGTCCAGTCCCTGGTACAAAGATAAATAAATAAATAAATAAATAAATAAGCAAAAGACAGACCTAGGGATGTGGCATAGTATAAAAGCCCTAGATTCAATTTCCAGTACTGCAGATCAAAGTGAAAGAAAAACAAAACCCAATCTGAAATGAGAAAATACATAAATGCCCACTTTACTGAGGATGATACGTGAATGGCTGGCCAATGAGCACATGAAGAGATGTTCACCATCATATTCCTTACAGGAATGCAAATTCAGACCAAGAGCAGATATCACTACATATTAAAACACATAAAATAAAAATAGGAACGTTACCAAACACTGACAAAGATTCAGAAAACAGGGGACATCTCATACATCACTAAGAATTTATAAAATTCACTATGTATTTCATGCTGACCTACAATTCACAGTAAGAGTTGATTTTAAATCATGAATGAGTGTTGTAGACAAATCCATAGAGGATGAAAGCTAAATCAGAACTGGTCAGGATGCAGGGACAGGAAGGCCAGACTTTAATAGGAAGTGAGAACTTTCTGGAGAGAAAGAAGGTTCTGTATCTCCATTTATATCATAATTATACACATATACTTGTTAGAATTTGTGGAGTTTCATTGCATTTATATCTTCATATAGTTATTTTAAAGATGATAAAACACTGAATGGCTTTTGACTCTTCTACTGTGACAATGTGTCTGTTTTCTATAGACTATTACAATAAATTATGTTTTTTTCTTCCATGATTCATATATTTTTTTATTTTTTATTTTACTTTACCAAGAAACAAATAGCAATGAGACAGTTTCAAACCTGATTAATAGGACAGTTTTAATAATTAATACATAGTACATTGTTATCTTCTTAGTGGCTATCCATAGTACAAGAAGCAGACAGGATATCCTGTCCAAATACTATTACTACAAGTCTTTCTTCTCATTGAATTAAGCAAAAGTATCTGTATCTATCCTAACTATTCTGTATATACAGATACAAAATGGTCCTTCCTTTGTATCCCCTTTTTTTGTTTAGTCCTGTCAGAGATGAGTATTCCATTGGCACCTAAAGGCTATAGGTGCTTGAATTCAGCAAAACAATCCAACACAGTCGAGTAGTCTACAATAGTAGTGGGTTATCCACAGAAGCTGTTGACTTGAGCCTTTCACAGCTCAGCATATTAATATGGCTTTACTTTATACTCCTCGTTTTTATACTTTTCTGCTGGATGGTTAAGACCAAGATAAAGCAAGACCTATATAACAAGAAATGTATCTTTTGCATCTGATAAGGCCAGTCAAGTCCCCTCAGGATTTATCCTGTAACCCTGTACTGCAGTTTGCAGATCCTTTGTCAGTGTCAGCCATGTGGATGAGTCACGGCCATTGCTTGACCAATTTGCTCTCTGTGAAAGCCTGAGAGAATGTTTTCTTTCCCTGTGACTCTCCTTAGGCACACTCCACGAAATCGATTTTCTAGTTTTTTGTTTTTTTGGCGGTACTGGGGGTTGAACTCAGGATCATGCACTTGCCAGGCAGGCGCTCATTCTACTGAGCTATCTCCCCAGCCCCTGAAATCTCCATGGCAGAGATTACTATCAAAATATTTTTCATCCTATACATGGTCCAAAATAACCATACACACACGTACATATGTAGTATGCGTACATGTATATGTACACACGTGTGGATGTGCCTATGCAAATCACAGTACCAGATGCTTGAAATGGTACAATAATTTATAGGGCTCAAATATGATCTGACCCAATATGATTTCCTCTTGCTTTTTTTTTTTCTACTGAAAGGATTTATTGTTCTTTTTTAAAATAAATGTTCTACATATTTTTCAGTTCTCTTGCTGTTTTAACAAAGCTGCTTGAAGCAACCAAAATGCCCCCTCTCCTAATTCTGTTGGTGAGGGGTCTGAAAACAGTCTTACAGAGCCCACACTTTACAGGCGCTGGAAGCTCCAGGGTGGAATCTGCATTCTGGCCTTTGGCAGCACACAAAGCTGCATCGCTTGGCCTGTGGCTTCTCCTTCTCCAGTGGCACAACACTTTTTCTGGTTTTGCTTCTATTATACTGCCTTTTTCTTTTCTGCCCAAAATGTCCCTCTGCTTCCCTTTTGTAAGGACTCCTGTGATTATACTGGGTTCACCTCAAGGCCCTTAACTTCGTCACACTTTCAAAGGTCCTTTTCCCAGGTAGACTCCTAAGTGTCCAGGGATGGGGCCTGGGTATCCCTGGGGACCACTGTGCAGCTGCCCACACCCCACCCTCCAGTTTCACACCCAGCAAGAGACCTTCCCCAGCTCTCTGCACCCCAGCTACCAGGCTCTCCTCCTAGGTGCCTGAACACAACAACATGCCTCCCCTGCTGCAGTCTCTTTTTCATGCACAGGACAACACTTCAGCACCAGAAAAAGGGAGGCATAACACGATGAGAAGAATTCAATCTCTGTGGATAACTGGGAGAGACGAAAAGAACTGTTAAGGTTAGGAACTGTGCAGACCTCACAGCCCAGAGGGAGATGCCTCCAGTCCCACAGTAACAAGGGATACACTCTGGAGAGTGGTCTGTAAAGGGAGTCAGCAATGTGGGCAATTTAGAACCCTCTCATCTTCTCTACAAAACACTCCCTTAGAACCGCATTGCTCACGGAGGCTCTCGTATGAACACACAGGGGAACTGGGCCCAGTGTGCAGATGGGTACACAGGAGCCGGAAGCACGCAGACTTGGGGCCACAGGGACACAATGAACCAAGCAACCCTGGGGTTAAAGGAGGAAATAAGGGTCCCCAAGCACTGGCCTGGTCCCTCACCCACAGTCCAACCTGATCATGGAAAAAACAGGATGACAGAGGTGGGTTACCAGGAATAGCTTCATGAGGTAACAGACACTCGCTTTCTTGAAGACTCCAGCCTATGTATCTATAAGCCACTGAAGACAGACAGGTGGTGGACTATGCCATCCTCCACTGGAGGAACCCTGGAATGCCTGCTGTCAACTTACAGCTGTGGAGAGCCGTGACGCCAGCGTCATTTCCAGGTTCCCCTTCAGGCCCACTAGGGGTGGAACCAAGGTCAAAAGGTCTTTAACCTCCACAAACACAGGCCAGTGCTGGAAGAGAAAGGATAAGGAGATAAATGTAAATATACAGTCTTCATAGGCCTGTAAAAGTCTTCAGAATAAAATGAACAAGACCAAATAGCATCGTAAATATCTTTAAACAAAATAATAAGGAAGCCATGAAATGTTTCATACTATGTATCAAATTAGCACTAGTGATCTCAAGCAAGCCACCCTCTCTCTCTGTCCCCAGGAGTCAGGAACTTTGGGGGCTGTTCCTGGCTGCAGGCACACTGGACCCACCCAGCATTCAAACATGCTACAGCAGTTGTCTGTACAGTACAGAAATCTCTGCACAACATAAAGTTTTGTAGAAGTACAAATGAGTTATCAATTTTAGGAGGCTTAGTAATACCTGGCAAGACCAGCAGGGGCTGTGGGGTGGCAGTAATTTTGTCAGGGATGTCACTTCTAGGCTGCCCAGGGCCTGCCTCCCTGTGCTCCCTGGCACTAAGACAGGCATAAGCTATCACTCAGAAGCACCATGCTGGAATCGGAGTTTCTCAGAACAGAAAAATCTGTTTTGTCTCCATCAAACATTAAAAAAAAAAGAAAGAAAGAAACCCAAAAGGCAGAATGACAGGGCTGCAAGTTTCAAGAACACTGGAAGAAAAAAAAATTCATTTATAGAGTTGAAAATTCTTAACTGGTTAACATACAGATGGTTCTCTGGGATCAACTCTATGTTCTCTGGCTTGTGAGAGACAAGGGGAAGAGGAGAGGGAGGGGAGAGGAGAAAGGAGAGAAAAGGGAGGGAGAGGAGAAAAGGCACGAGGGAGAGGACAAGAGAGCTAAGGAGAGCGAGTGTGCTTTGGGACTTTGTACTGAACTTCAAGCACGGCTTGGTTGGCCCAGAAGGCCCGCTGATTCTTCAGAATGCTGGCATTACAGGTGTGCATCACTATCACACTGGGCTCTTTCTAATTTTTTTTTTTAAATGTTTTTAAAAACATAGACAGGATCTGGCTATGTTGCTAATTTGCCCAGGCTGGGCTTGAACTTTCAATTCTCCTATCTCAGCCTTCCAGAATCAAACTGGAACTCCCTGCCTGATCTGATTAATTTCTTTTGTTCTCCTGATACCTACAGGTATCTGTGACCTTTAGACAAGAAACTCCTCTGGTTTTGGAATTCTGAATTCAAGGATAAATTCCTCCTTTGCTAGCTAGGACAGCAGAGGTGCAGATTCTGGTTCCCCAAATCCACTTCACCTCTTCACCTCTAGAGGGAGCAGGAGCGCCAACTCCAAGCAGCTCAGGGCCTTACAAGCGTGGAGTGAGTGGTGACCACAGTTTCAACTTGAGCTCCACGATGTTTCCCTTGGCCAAAAACGCATTAGGTTGTTTTCCAGTTCGAAGCATTCAACAGATGGTAGCAAGGCAGAGCCACCCGAAACGGACACCGGATTTCCATGACAAGTACGATAATGCTATATTAGTTGGTGGAGCCACATTCTGTACTGCTGCATGGACCTGTACAGCAACACAAACTGGATGGAATGGATCCTTTCCCCTGTTGGCAGAGTCACCCCCAAGGCATGGAGAGAGCAGTGATCACGCCAGCTGATAGGATACAGCTAAATGATTTCTAAATGAAAACATAATTGATACCAAGTAAAAGTGTTGTGTATCCATTAAAATATGGTGCATTAAAGAAATAAAGAAGCGGAAGACCCAATGCTATTATGGGCTACTGGACTCTTAGAATATTTTCCTGAGTTTACACACCTATAATGTTCAAATAACGGAACTTAACAAAAAAAAAAGGGCATACAGATGAATGTCCATTTTGTATCTGTGTATTCAAAGTGGTTACGATAGATATATAGTTACATTCTCTTAATGAATAGAGGAATTTGTTCTAATGGTGTTTGTAAATAGGATATCAAGCCGCATCTCGTACAGCAATTAACCACTAGGAAGAATGTATGCAATGTGTGAATTATTGAAACTGTCCTACCAATTTGATTTGAAACTGTCTCATTGCTATTTGTTTATCAATAAAATTATAGAAAAAAAAAGAAATAAAGTATAACTGAAACCTTCAAAAAATGAATAAAAATAACTCCTTTCTGCTCTTAGATCAAGGAAGGTAACCCCACTAATGGCTCCCTCTTCACCTTCTCCCTGTGCATTAGGTGTGAAATTCAGAATGCAGGCACAGCTCTGATAGATTCCTGAGCTGTCAAGGCTTCAGGAGCAAACAGTGTCACCAAGCGGGTGTGTGGCCCTTATCAGCACTGCTCCACAGCTTCCCTGTCTTCCAGCAGCATCTGGCCCCAGTCCTGCATGCAGCTACCCTATCAGGCCTGAGCACAGGCCTGTAGCACAGGGCATGGGGACCATCACACAGGCACTCATGTCATGGGCTAGGGTTAGTTAGCCCACGAGGGTCCTCTCCCACCTCCTCTGGAAATTAAGAGCATTTGGGAACTGTGACTGGACCAGATTAGGGTCATGTATGTACACACTCCTTCAGGCTATTAAGTCTTCCCAGAGCACACATTTATGCTGTTTCCACCCCTGCACGAGACTGACTACTCACCAACACCAAAGTCAGAATAAACACCCTCGTCTCTACCTCCCCTGCCAGCGAACCTCCCTAACCCAGGCTCTTTCCCAGTGCCACCCACTTCTGATGCGTTCCCACCCTCACTTCTCTTGACACCATGCTGTGCTGGCTCAGGTCTACCATACTGCTGTCTCCAAAGATAACAATAACCTTCGGATGGGCAAACCCCAGGATTCTAGTGCTGATTCCTCTGTGGGATGGCACTGTCCTTCACAACATGGATGAAGCTCCTACAAAAGACTAACCTCCAAACTCTCTTCCTCTGGCCTCCTAGTTCTATGCTGGCCTCCCTAATGATTCCATTTTGTCCTCCACTGTAAGCCCCTTTTCCTCCTCCTGATCTTTTAATACTGGCTTTCTTAAATGCTTCACCTCCTGCTCTCCTTTCTTTCCACACCCTCTCCCTTCCAAGGTGTGAGTTAACTTTCACTGCAGTTGGTATTATTTCCCTACAGCTACCACCACCTTCTCCCTGGGACCACAGACTCACTGTGGTCCCCTCCTCCCTGCTGGTGGCCAGCTGCCATAGCATGGGGCTGTGACATGATTCTGGCCATGAGACTTAAGAATTTTTTTTTTTTTTTCAGAACCAGGGATTTAACCCAATCCCTTGAGCTTGCCAGGCAAGCACTTATTCTACTGAGCCATCTCCCCAACCCCTAAAATTCTTTTTTATTTCTTTTTTTTTTTTTTTTCAGTACTGGGCATTGAACTCAGGACCTTGCACTTGCCAGGCAAGCGCTTATGCTACTGAGCTATCTCCCCGGCCCTGAGACTTAGGTATTCATGCCTGGTCACACTGGGTATCAAACAACCACGAAGGGAGCTATTCTGTACAAAGTCAAAAAGCTGACACTGGCTCAACAGTGTCCCCTTCCCCAAATTCATATGTCAAGCCCCTAAGCCCCAGTACCTCAAATATTTTTAAAGACAGATAGTTAAGAGATGGGTAAGCCACAGTGGGGTCGTATAGGTCGGCTCTCATCCAACACAACCAGTGTCCCTAAAAGAGAGATTAGGATATAGATAAGCACTAAGGGACAGCTGTGTGGGAAGAAGATAGGATTTTAAAACTCAAGAAACCAACCCTGCAGATACGTTGAGCTCAGACATCCAGTACTCAGATGCAATAATAACAATAATTTCCATTATTTAAGCCACTTGGTCTGTGGTATTTTGCTATAGCAGCCCTAGCAGAGTAAAACGAATGCTAAAGTAGAAAATGCCGAGCCACCACTCATCCAGGGACATAACCAGTCCGAAGGTGCCCTATCTCCAGTGTCCCAGTACAGAGATAGGAAGTATCCTTGTTCCCACAGTTGTTTCGAGGTGAGTTTTCTACTATTTGCAGCCAGAAGCAAATCCACTGATAGATGTCCTGGGCATATGGCAGAACTCCAATGCCTCATTCACTGCAGACTGCATAATTAATGTCACGTGGTTACCTCAAACTTAAAATCTCCAAACTTCACCTTCTCCCACAGACGCCCTTCTGGCAGCCCTACCTCCTGCAGTTCCTTCCTGCTGTGCCAGTCAAGATGGAAACCCTGCTTCTGTACAATTTGACACTCACGTTATCATAATTATAAAATTCTGCCACTGCCCTCTAAAGCAACACTTCAAAGACATTTGTTTTGGTCAGTGGGGGACTGAAATCCACCAATGCTTTTGGTCCTGCTGTTGGGGGGGGCTCCGAATTGTAGTCCCAACCACGCTGCCCTCCTCACTGCCTCAGAGTTCATCATCAAGCATCTTTGACACCAGAAAAAGTTCTGTCACACAACTATGACAGTCACTCGACCACTTATAACCATGCACTACCAACTCCACCCAACACACTCAAGTCCATATATGCCCCCGAAACATACCTAAGAATGTTGTGAGTAGCATCATACCTCATTAGGACCACAACTCCCCCAAGCACCAGAAGGCAGAGGACAGGTGGAAGTGGGGCAGGTGTGAAAGAACTGTTAGTGACAGGGCATGCTTGGGACCTAGGCAGGGGTCATGGGGCATTCACCTTCCGTTTATCAACTACACACAGAAGCTGTGTGATTTTCCACATGTCTACACTATATTCCAATTAAATAAATATAATATTTATCATAAAATGAAGGAAAGAAGATGGAAAAAAGGAGAGCAATACAAGAAGCACAAGAAAATAATGAAATACAGGAAAGGAAGTGAGGTAGTCAATCAAGAAAAGAGAAAAACCCCTTTGCATTCAGTGTGTGTCTCAAGCTTCTGAACAGAGCAGAGCCCCTCAATGGCCCACACTGTCGCTGTCCTGAGGACAGTGGTCACCCAAGGTTCCCCATTCTTCACTAATGCACACTCTCATTCATTGCTTTGCACACATGGTCCTCTGCCTGGAATGCTTGCATCTTCCGCAGCACCTGGAAATCGCTACAGTAACCCTTCGGTCCAAGTTGGACCTTGCCGCTCCGATCTCTGCCCTCCCCGGAGGAAGAAGGAAGCAGTCTCTCCTCCTCCTTGCTATGTCCACTCCCTGTCTAGCTCTCCCAACTGACAGCACCCTCCAGGCCACAGAAGCAGAGAGGCACCAAGAAGAGGGTGTGTTCCCGAGTGGCAATCCGGGGTCCCAGCTGGAAGTGGCTGTGGGTGGGTTAGAGATGGGGGAGTTCAGAACCCAGCTGCACACAAGGTGGCGGTGAAAAAGGTCAGGGAAGACCTGGAGCAGGAGTACCAGCAGGGTGGTCTTAGGGAAGGGGCAGCAGCTCTCAGAGAGGCCACAGAGCTGAGGTCTTCAGGAAGATGTGGGAATCTAGGCTACAAGCCAAAGAAGCACAAGCTCTGCAACCGTGAGGGAGCCCCAGCACCAAGAGGGCCATATGTCCCGGTTACTGAGGTGTGCAGCTAGAAGCTGCCAGAGAGTGAGCTAACACTCCGAGGCCAAGTGGACTGAGTAACACTGACCATCCTCTCTAGCTCAAAGGCTACAAGGAGTCAGTGGGCAGCCACCATCAGGGAGATGTTGTGGAACATGGGACACCATCTTGGGATGTCCTCATGGTTAAATTCAAATTTACAGAGTAAAATTAATATTGGGGCTGAGGATGTAGCTCCATGGTGTAATACATACATGGCAAACACAACACCTGTGTCCTGTCTCCAGCAACACACACACACACACACAAAAAAAAATAAATAAATAAATAAATAAATAAATAAATAATAAGCACAAACCTCTTAGTCCTGCAACCATGATTCTGGGACCAAACCCAGGCACACACAGGACAACCACCCGTGTGAGGCAATCACCACACTTCTCGATTGCCTACACACCTCTGCCAGGCTCTGAGCCTTGCCCTTCCCCCAGAACCTCATGGGCTTGCCCAGGTTCTGCCTGTCCCATCACTCCACTCCACGGGTCAATAACATACACGTACCCAGTTATCTGCCTCATACATCTGTGAGACAGATGCTCTTATGATCCCTGCTTTATAGATGGGGAAACCAAGGCAAAAAGAGACTAAATATCCCGGCACTAAGTGCAGACCCCACCTGAGGAGGGTGCACTCCCTGCAGAAAGGAGGCTGAGTGCCCTGGCTGACAGGGACCACAGGGCTAACCATAGGGAGGGTCATCCTCAGAATGCTTATTGTTCTGGGACCCTTCTACCAAACCCCATAGACAGACTGCTGAGCAGTGAGGCCACCCATGTAGGCCCCGCACGTCGCTGGCCCACACCATCCCTGGTGCCAGGAAGCCCTGATGCTGCCCACTATCCCACCCCCACTACCTCTCTGATGCCCAGGACGCACTTGGACAATGTTCATCATCAGGCCGGCAGCCATCATGCCCAAGCCAGACAGCAGTATGGGCACTGTGACCTGGCATGTCGTAGAAAAGACAGTCTCAGGCAAGACCCCATGGGGGGACCGGATGAGCTCACAGCTAAATCCTCGCAGCTTCTTGCCCTGAAAGCGAAACTCCAGGTTCAGCTGGGTGACCACCATGATCAGGGTGTCATCCACATCCCCAGAAGCCAGAAGTCCAAGCTTGGGCGCCTGCTGTCCTCTCCCCTCGTCACCTGCACAGAAAGAGGCTTCCCAGGAAGTTGCCAGGTGATCTGAACCTGGAGCAGGTTCCCTGATGGCCCCTGGGCCAAGGGCCCGAGTAAACAAGTAAGGGACAAAGGCCAGTGCGGCTCAGAGCCTCATCTGGAGCCCGCCAGCTCTTGCTGACCACTCTGTGCAGGTCAGGTTCCTTCAGAGAGTGGCTGCATGTCAGCTGGGAGCTCACTCTGCCAGGAAGGCTCGCTGCTCCTCTGTGGTGACCTTGACTGTGTCCAGCAGCTTGGTCACGCTGGCCCAGCTGGACAGAGACAGAGCCCACGTGGGCCAGGCCCTGGTGAGTGCCCACACAGTCTCCTGCCTCCTCCACACATGTGATGCTCTGCCCTTGGCAGAGGAGAGCCTGCAGGGATCTCAGTCAAAAGGCCCCATTCCTTGGGCCTCCTATAGGAGTTTTACTCCTCAAAGCCAAGGACTCCGCGAGTCCCCAAGAAGGAAGCCACCCACATCTGTGGTCACTTTAACCACTGTTCAGAGAGCTGATGGTCACAGGAAGAGGTGTGTTCACAGAAAAAATGCAGTTCTATTGTCCTTTAAAGGTCTGGAAGACTTGTCAGTGTGCTTCTAAAGTGAACTTACTTACTCCAACCAAAAGTTCAGACTCTGTACCCTAGAGAAGGGGAAGGGGCTAGGCAGGAAGCCACTTGGGTTCCCAGGGATTCCCCTGCTTGCTACATCCTCTGTGCATCCAACAGCCATGGGAGAGAATGTCCAGCCCAGGGGCTAGGTGAACTGAGGTCACAGCCAGAAGAAGCCACCCGAAGCTGAGAGTCACATTGCAGGTACTGACCCACGGCTACCCATGTGACCAAGGACACATTTGTGCTCATGTTCCAAAACTCACATCCCCTCAGGTACCTTGCCTCATTGTTCTCCATCAGGGAGTCTCCCCAACGTTGAAGTCCAAACCAGCTTTACCTGGAGGCCCAGCCATCATCAAACTCCCCAACCCTATCCTCTCTCCCCATGTAGAGGCAAGCTTCTCTACTGACTGGTTCCCCCCAAGACCCTGATGTCCCTCCCACTATGTCCTCAGTCACACTCTTAACATGTTCATTCATCTAATTACATAATCATGACCCGCCTGTCATGTCTTCCATGGGACCAGATATTTAGATGACAGAGTCTCACTATATAGCTCAAGCTGGCTCCAAACTTGCTATATAGCCCAGCATGGCCTCAAACACATGATCTTCCTGCCTCAGCTTCCTATAGTGCATGAGCCATGCTTGTGCCACAGAATGAAATGGTGCTTTTTTGTTTTTGTTTTTGAGAAAAGCGCCATAGGAGTCAACTGGGTTCAGGACATCAGCTCGTTTAGGATCGAAGCCCTTGCCATCAGCCAGCTTCTCAGGCTGCTGAACACGTCCAACAAGACATTCTTTCCCAAGGGCCCAGGTAAGTGGTTACTCTCCCCTGGCGTCACAGCCTCCTGAGCCGTCCTTACAGGCTGGGGTGCAGTCAAGCATCCTAATGTAACACAGAACTGGGCACAGAGGGTCTTGAACCTTCTTGTCAGTCAGGAAATCTAGAAATAATCCTCTGTATAACTTCATATAGAAAGGTATTTGACAGTAACAAATTATGACAAAAGTGCTTCTCAAATGTTTTAAAACTGAGTAAGAAATAAAGATATGTGTGTGCACACTCACATGCACCAGGTGAGCATATACATAGGTAAACAAACATGCACACACAAATGCAATGAAAAGTTTGGGCTGGGAGGACATGGTGGCTCCTGACTGCAATCCCAACTAATCAGGGGGCTGAAAAATGAGAATCCAAATTTGAGACCAGCCTGAGCCACTTAGTAAGTAAATAAATGGCTGGGATATAGCTCAGTGGTTAACTTTCATTACTTTCTGTACATTCTGACTACTGTAATCATTTGCTTTTACAACCACCAAATGAAACTGTTGCCAGAAGTAAAAGAATACATTCATTGAGAAAAATTACTTTCCTGTTAAACTTGGGAACACCACATATCAACAGAGTTTTTTGGGCCATAATCCAGAAAAATGAAGTTGTAATTTAAAAATAGTTCAGTAACACTGAGGAAAATCTCAAAGAGCCTAAACTGAATTCCAGGCTGTATTGGATAATAGGAAGAATCTGGGTCAAGCATCAGGTAGTTTCCTGGGTGACCCTGGAAAACCTACCTCACGGTCCCACGCAGGGAGTGGGAGGGGGTCAGCAGTTCCCAAGCCCGTATGCACATCGGCACTCGTAGGAGGAGCCGGGGTGCTGTGTAGCAATAGAGTGTGCGCTCAGCATGCTCAGCTTCTGGACATTCAGCTCCTCTCTCAGGGTGACCTTCAGCCTAGGCTGGTTCAGAGGCAGGAGGCATTCTTAAAGGCCTAAATGCTTCTCCACCTTGCTCAAGTCTCAGAGATCAAGCTAATTAAATTTTTAATAACTAGAAAGACCTTTCCTTTATCTTTCTCATCTCAGACAGCAGGAGCCACCCAAAGGCCTCATGTACTGGCCCCACTGCTTGGCTGGCCCATGGTCTACAGGCAGTCCCTGCGCCCATTTGGGCCTCCTCTCTAGTGTCTCCTCTTCCAAAGGACTTCTTCAGCCCCCCTTTCCAAGGCTATTCCCACCACCGGCTCTGACACGTCACTCAAATTTCCAGGGCAACAACTGTCAGCCTTAGAGATAAAATATTTCTCTCATTAAGCAAAGACATACTGCTTGGGATGCCTTCTTCTACTTTCTTAACACCTTGATCACTTTCACACCTCTCTGCCTCAGCTATTCCCTGCACTTTTCTCAATACCTCTGATAAGTCACTCAATAAATGGCAGCCACTTCACAAAAGTCAGGTTTTAGCACAAGAGCTGATATTCCTAGACCCCGGCATACCATCTTACTTCTATCTATTGTCTTTTATTCTTTGCTGTACACTTGCCCGAGGGACTGGGAGACTGGCCAGCTCCTGATATGTGTGCCATTAGCCTGTGCACACTCCCTCCTGAGTGTGGCCTCCTGGGCAGCCCTGTGTAGGGTGTGGTATCCTCCTCCCCAGGCTGAGCAGCAGGCCTAAGAAGCTGCTGCTGCTCACCTCCAGGGCTGGGTGCTGTGCCATCCTCAGAGCCCTCTCTCCCAGCAGGGCGAAAGCGATCAGAACAAGGAGACACACATGATCCAAGAAACCAGGTCAGCTCAGATTATGTCCTCTTTGCTAACTGGTTCCTGACCTCACAAAGGCCTGCTCAGGTGGACCTATGGGCCTGAACTTGAGCTAGCTCCATCCATATTCTTGGTCTCTCTGTAAGGGCTGCTATCTCCTCTCATCTTACAGCTGTTCTTGCTGCCACAATGTGAACTACTGTCACCTGGATGTATCACAGTGTGCAGCCTATGCCGGGCAGGTGCTCCCTGGAACTGCTGGCACCTGATAGGACCTACAGATTGACGTGACAGATGAGACCCCTTTAACCCTGGCTGGATCCCAGTTAAAATAGTAAACACAGTTCAGTATCAGTTAAATAGGACCTTCACAGAGAAGACTTACTTGCTAAAATTTATTTAAGGAAGAGTGACTTTCCTAGTTTCTCCTTTAAAACAGTCCAACTTGGCCTATCCTTAAATCAGGAAAGAATGAAAAGTGCTTCCCCCTGGGTGTTAATGTGGTCCCATTCATTATGAATGACCCCATCCCCATCACTGTTACAGAAATTACTAACAACCAACAACTGCTAATGATCTGTTGTAAGATATGGTTAACATGTTCTGATCAGTGCTGTGAAATAGTTTCTCGGCCATGGGTAACCTTCACTCGCAAAGGGACAGGACCCTTCCCAGAGTCACATGGGGGACCGACTCCCTCTGCCATCAAACACAGCCACATGCAACTTTCTCCAGAAGCACAGCCATGACACACCCTGATGACAACCTCCTCTGGGGTGGTTCACACGACCCTCTCATGAAGGTGTACACAGAACTCACAAAGGAGCCCACAGGAAGAGAATAGGCTGTCATTCCACTGGTAGGGAAGCCTTGCCATCAGGGTTAAACTTTCAAAGTTCACTTGCTGAACTGGGGACCACTCTAATCCTGACTGGTTAAACAGCAGCAACTGACCTGTTCCGTATCCATACCATTAATTAATACATGTCCAACATCTCTGGGTCTTTTTTGGGTTCTGCAGGCTATGTATTCCTCATAGACAAATTCTACTTATGCCTGTTTATTCTGTATCTTGCAAAATGGCCCACTTCCATGGGTGCCTTTACATTTCTAGAATCTCTCCAAAGTGAAATGAGCAGGCACTCCTACTCATACCCTCAGAAACCCCTTCGGAGGGGGCCAAGCCATTCCAGACGGCTAAGGATCTACACAAGCATCAAAGACACTCAACCTTGTATATTCATAAGTAATTCAAACCACACTACAATGAACATGGAGGGCAGCATTCCTTGACAATACCTCCCGCTGCCTCCTACTGCTCCTTACTGACATTCTTACGCAACTGATTCCCGAGTGTGGACCAACAGCAGTGTCCTGCTTCCAATTACAGAAGCAAAAGTGATAGAATTGGATCACAAAAGACTGTCTTGTTAGCTGCCTTTGCTTCCTCTGGAAGCCACACGCTTTGATGAAGCAGCCTCAGGAACTATATGGAAATAACTTGCCGTCAGTTACATTCTCCCTGGTGTGTGCTCTGTCAAGCAGCCTGAGCAGGTTAATGTAGTTGTTAAACTTAAAAATACATCAGAAAATACATGATCAAATAAATTTTAGCATATCTGAATAATATAATTATGCCATGCCCAAAATCCAATTTTTTTTAATGTATTTGGTACAGGGTCTCACTACAAATCTTGGACTCATAGTGATCCTCCTGTTTTCAGTCTCCCCATTGCTGGGATTACAGGCGTGTGCCACCACACCTGGACTCAGTTGCCAGCTCAGCACACCTGAGGGGTAGGGTTGGCACAGCATGTGGTGCTGGGGATCAAACCCAGGTCCCTGTGCTTGCCTAAGCAGGTTTAGTCCACAGAGCTATCTCACCAGCCCCTAAAATCCAAAATTATATGAGCTAACAAATTATCTTTTTAAATTTAACTTGGGTAAAATTCAGTCTATGTCAATAATAATTATAAGAATTGTACCCAATATAGAGGGAATAAATGGTATTTACAGAGACCTTCCCCATGTCTTGCTGGCTGGACCCAACATACAGCTGCTT